ACGATGACCGTACAGGTTAGGTAGATTAGTTTTTTATTTTCTTATTTTATAATTTGGTTTTCGATCAATTCCTTTTTCTATCAATTTTATTTTCGAGTTTTTCTTTTCGATTATTTTTCGTTTCGATAATGTTTCTTTTCTGTATCTTGTTTTTTCGATCAAATGTTTGCCATTAAATATTTTCGCTCAATTTTGTGCGCTTACGTGGCCGGAATTCTTACACCGGAAATAGCAAAAGTGGGCAGCAAAAAATACTTGCAAAGGGATTGTTTATTAATACTAACGTTTAGACGCATATATTTCATAGCTAGCAAAAGAAAATATGTCGATAAGCCACTGAATTTCACAGGTCACGGAACATAGTACATGTTGTTTGTCCCCTAAATAACAAGCAAAAAAGACGACGTGTCACTTTTTGCAGTCGGATGAGGGATTATAAGAAAAGCCCTAGAAATGCTGAAATTAGATGCAGAAATATAACAATAATATGTTTATATAGCAATAGTGGACCCTATTGTTAAATCTGTTAAAAAAGCATGTATTTTGATAGGCTGACATAAAATCAAAGAAAGTGAAGTGAGAAAATCGGTTTAGATCCGAAAACTAAATGCAGATTTGGAAAGTCTGAAAATGAAAAATTCCGGCACTTTCTTTAATTTCACGTTTTCGGCGTACCGTACTCGAAAACTTAACACTGTTGATCGAATAAGGGATCTTAGAAATTTAGTTCTAGTGTAATTATAAATTACCGTCCCTCTACACGATGTCAAAAGGATGGCTTTAAGGAGAATTTTAGGAGCTGAGATTATAATTTGTGTGTCTGATTGAGTTCAAATTTATGAATTCGGACATCAAAGCGTATGTAATGAGGTGGCGTAATAGGTTAACGCGTGGACGACCTAAGTCTGAGGTTCAGGGGCCTAATTCCTGACGGCGTTCGTCATCGTCTCTCGTGACGTATGCGATTAGAAAAATGATATTAGAGAGTTATTGCAAGTTCACTTAAGGTCAGTCACTATTAGTGCCGCTCTTATTTTGACATCTGAGCATAACTTTAATAAAGATTGTGCCTGTCCTTAATAGAGAGATATTGCAAATTTCTATAAAGCCAGCCACTAATAGTGACATCGTAATTAGACTCAAATAAATTCTATAATAGTACCTAATATTAAAGAGGCATTAGAAATTATAATTTTAGAAGGTTTAAATGACGAGCGCATCCGAAAGCTATAAAGTCGCCACTATCTGCTGCCCTTAAACATCCACAATTAAGGACAGGCACAATCCTTAATAAAGTCAGTTTTAGAACATAAACATCTGCGCATGCTTAGATGTCAAAATAAGAGCGGCACTAATAGTGACTGACCCTAAGTGAACTTGCAATAACTCTCTTATTAAGGACAGGCACAATCTTTATTAAAGTTAGTGATCTACGCATGCTCAGGTGTCAAAATAAGACCGGCACTAATAGTGACTGACCTTAAGTGAACTTGCAATTTGAAAGCCTTTGCCGTATGAGAGTGATCCCGCATGCGTCGCTTAACGAATGATTTTCAACGAACGGTCTTGATCATTCGACAACCTTACCTGGCATGCAGTAACTATAGGTATCCAAGCATTATTGTCCCTGTTTATATTTTAAATAATTTTTTTATTATTATTAATTATTATTATATAATTATTTCACATTTTTGTTGTTTATAAGTGTTCATTAGTCATTAACTTTACTTAGTTACTGTATTTACAAGTGTAAATTTTTATAAAATGGACGATATAAAGGAATTTGACCTTATACAAGGAATACAAAATATGGAAGAGGCACAATTAGATACAGAACTACCACCTCTCAATTACAACAGGCGGCGGGGTCTATTTTTGTTACCAGATAGACAGTTTATAACAATATTTTGCTAATTTTAAATTTTTCTGTTCATTCTCGAATCTCCATTTTTAAATACCAACTAAAATTTATTTTAATTCTGATATTAACTATATTTTTGACACTCATACACGTAATTTTTTTTACATTTTTATGCTGATAATGCAGTTTTTGTTATGATTGGTTGAAAATAATAAAGAATACAAATTTTCCGTCGCATGCGGTGGCGACCATGCGTCACTAACCGAATGCGGCGTTCAGCGCATTAATTGGGCTCCAGTTCGACTCCCGGTCTCGCACGCATTTTTTTTTATTTCTTTAGTTCTCAGCTTTTGCCATTTTTCTTTAGTATGTTTTTAATTTGGGGGAATTAGGGATTTTCCGTTTTTAGAATTTCTTAGTCTGACAATTGTTGACATATAAAATATTCAGAAACACTTTTGAAAGCAGGAAGTTGAAAACGTAAGAGAAGAATAAACGGAATAAGCCATACGATTCATGTGGTATACCATCGATACACGCTTTAATGTTTATGTAATCAGTAAGGACGATGAAATCAATTTCATTAAAAATACTATCTAGAAAAAAGTCCAATATATCACTGCCAACAAACAAAGAATTATGTTTACTTTAACAAAAGTTATATGTAATAATTATTGTTTTGAACATTTATCATTTAAAAGTGTACATTCAAGGATTTCTTGCATAAGACTTCTGCACTATTTATAATTACAATTTAATCGTTCGTTATTCACAACAAGAAATAAAATTCAAACTAATATGTTTACGCAACAGAACACATTAGCAGGTATATAATATAATATATAAAATATTTCGTATCATTAACTTTTTAGCACCTTATATTATACACGTTCAAAAAGTTTTTAAAATATAAAAACAATCAGGAATTATTAGTAATATTATTATTATGAGATACATTAACATTCCAATTTTTTTTATTTATAATAAGTATTTATTTATATGCTTTCTAAATACAGATTGCTTGTTGCTTATATCGGCAATCGACACCCCCAACGAACAAGGACGTAACTCAACATACGTCTTTGTTCGACAGTTACACTTTTTTCAATTTGGTAATGTGTGGAAGAGGTATAGTCTACGTAAATATTAAAGTGGAATAAAGACGTAAGCCTATTTGTTTTTACCGTGATAACACCGTAGTTAAAGTTACGTTCTTCCAATGAACAAACAATATTTTCAAAGAATTAACTCGATTTAAGTATTAAGTATGTTTTGTATTTACTAAACATACTCCAAAAGCATACAATTTTTTCTCACTAAAATACGTTTATACATAATCATATAATGGTACGTTTTGTTATATTAAAATACGTTATTAACATTTATGTTTTTGCTCGTATTATGGCGTTAATGATGACCAAACATTTGTAATTTGAGATACGTCATTATTCTTGATCGACGATATTTTTTGGTAGACCTAACTAAATAAGAACTCATTAATTTATCATTAGCAATAAAAATAAACTTATTTTGTATATTTATTTACACTAAGACACTTATTAATTTATTTATACTTAAATACGTATGCTAATTTATATATCATATTTACCTAAATACTAATTAATATTGACATATACTATATCGATCACTTTATACTAAAAGGTGAAGGCTCTGGAAGCCTACACAAAATTCCTCAAATATATTACAATAGTGACACTTTCGCCGAAAGTTACAATTTCGTATCATTCATCAATTATTCTACTATGTTCCAGCGTTGGCCATAGTCGTCCAATTTACCATGATCGTAACTTTAAGTTAGGTTTGGGAGCTGACTTATTTCTTTGAAATTTTTTGGTAATTGGACAAGTGGGGCCGTCAGAGGCCCAAACAAGACAGATAGAGACTTAAGGGATTACAGCAAGATAATTTTAACGAGCTACTTTGTAGCATTTGGAAAGAATTCATTATCACATAGTGTCAAAATATACTGGTTGTTTCCTTAAATAAAGAGGAGTTTTGAATTTGAAAGACAATTTTTTTTAAATCGTTTTTCAGAGTCTCTCCAAAAGCTATAAAGTGTGTCCCAAATTTGAGTCTCTATATTTCGCTTAATATAAGAGATAGAAAGTCGGTTAAATGCGAAATGTTTTAGAGAATTAAATGCTGATCTTGGAATCGATTTCAAAATTATTATAAGTAATGTAGTTTTTGAGTTTTTTTTATGGCGGGTTAAAACCATTAATTTGATATAGTCCGGAGAATAAATTCCAAATTGTCTTTTGCTGTCGCGTTTCCTACCGTAACTTTGTTATTTCTAATATCGACCATCTTTGATTTTTATATATACTCTCTAAATTATCTGTTAAACTATGTGCCGCATGCGATGCACATTTTTAAGAAGTAACAGTAAATTAATAAAAATCCAATATTATGAGTGACATGTGGTGTTTCTAAAAATGCAATCTGATATTAAGTGATGCATACGAAAATGTATCGGGCAAGTGATGTTACTGCGTGGATATATGTGTTTACCTTTGAATATTATATTTTTGGTATAAAAACAAAATGGCAAAAAATGTAACATGTGTCGTTTCTCAAATGACCGTAACATTTATTTTCAACCTAATCTTACGTCACCAATTGTTTAGGAAAATAAAAAATATTTCCGGTTTTACCAAATTAGGAATAAAATTAGTGCTTTATTAATTTTAACGGTATTACTTAAAAATTTGAATATCATGTGACAGAATCGTTTAAATGATTTTTCTACAAAAATATTCTTCCTATTAAGCTTCCATTTAAAGAACAAAATCGGATCTTTTTTAGCTTTTTTGAAATAACTCAAAAACTGCATAACTAATCATTTTTAAAACGGGTCCTAGATTAGTATCCAATTCCCTAAAATATGTCCATTTAACCAACTTATATTTGATATTAAAGCAAGATTCTGATATGGAGACTCAAATTTCAAACACATGAATATATAATTAGTAAAATAAGAAAGTAGCCATTCTATAGGAAATTCAAACAAATGTATTTTTTAAAACCATATATTAATATTATGAATTTAGTACAGCATGTCTTTGTTAGTTTAACATCTAAAAGACCATACTCAAAACTAATAATTAATTTGTTTCAGTGTACCCTCAAAAGCAACAATACGCCTATGGAGGCTACCCAGTACCGCAGCCCTACACAGGGCCGTACTACACGACCGGGTCAGCGTATGGACCCTACAATTATTGAAAACCATAACCACAAATATGTAGGACAAAGAACAACTTGAAGAGACTGTCTATCAATTACCTGTTACGTGTAAACAAATTGAATTAATAAAAAGACTAGTTTTTGGTAATTTAAAACTTCATAACATACTTAAGAAAAATGCTCAGGGTAAAATTTTTTTACCGTTTAGTGTAATTTTCTGTAATATTTTTCGTAGTGTTTCTACATTTATATTTTTATTTTCATAATATTTAGATATGTAAATGATTTTTGAAAAACTGAGGAATGTCTGAAATTGTTTAGATAGGTATATGAGATAGGTATCAACAAAAAAAAAAAATAAAATTCGAGTGCAATTTCATTTAAAATTTGACAATAATTAAAAAGGTCATTAAGCTTAATACATTAAAGATATAGATTATTTGAAAGGTCATCAAGCTTAAAACCTATATACATTAAAGCTATAGATTATTTGAGATACCTGATATTCCGGTTTTTCACGTACCGATTATTTAATACAGGACATTTAGTACTGGCTGATAATAATTTACTATTTCATGTGTCAAGAAAATTAAGTTTTAGAATTAGGGAACCATCTTTATTTCTTCTATTGAAACTTAAGTTCCTTGCCACGCAATAAATTTATTCATTTTTCGAAATATTGTTGCAGTATATTCAATGGTTTGGAGTTAGTACACTGTAAAGCTACCATACGCTTTTACTTTTTTACTACTCATATAAATTATTAGGCTGTTTAAAATCAGTACGTGAAGAAGCCATAATAAGTTTAGAAAAAGATCTTGTATATATTTACTAGAGTTAAATATAGATTAGAAACGATATGAGACATTGTATAAAATGTGACTGTACTTTATCGAATTAAGGTAGGTAAATACAACGAACAATTTAAATATTAACAACTATTTATATTGATATTTTTATTTTTTATATTTCTTTATATAAAACTATTTTTAACATTGTATAAGGTAGGTTCAAACAATAAACTTTTGATACCAAGTAATTCTGTCTCATATCTTCATGTAGCCCTTCTATGAAAATAAAATCTCCCTAGAACATTTGATATCTAATATATGTCATTCATATAGGTATAGGTCAGCCGCTGATACCCAGACAGCACAAATAGGTCTATTGGACGTCCATTCGATATACAATTTTGGATGTCTGGACGATCAAAGATGAGTTTTTTCTGGACTTTCGACGTCCAATGGACGTCCAGTGAAGTATACAAATGGCACACTTTTGACCATTCATAGGACGTCCAATTCTGGATTATATTTGGATGTTGAATACTGGACATTCAAAAAAACGTCCATTCCTGGATTATATTCCATTGAGACCACTTTCCCACTTTTTTTACACAACCGCAACTAACCACACACTATTTTATGTTATTATTAATTTATTTGTTATTTTCGCAACCCGCTATACACCATTTATTTATTTATTTTTTATTAAAAATCGTTTGACCAGAGCAGGGATCGAACTCACGACACGTCCATTGTCGTTCTAGCAAAGTATACGGTGAAAGAGAGAGGCCCGACACGCCCAACATAGGGCGCGGCCATTTTGATGCCTTTACCACAGTTTATAACTAAAGAAACAGTTCGCTCACTCTGCGTCGGCACTTTGGATCTCAATGTTCCAGTTAATACACTGCGCAACTCGGATAATACAATATATGATAACCGCCTATATTTCAACAGCAGTCTTCTGCGCATCCTGAATTTGGTCCGAGTGAGCTAACTGATTCTTTAGCAATAAACTGTGCCTTTACTACTAGGTTAGGCAACACATATATTTCCTAAATGTTAAACTGGTAGTCTATACATCCTGGTATTTAGACCATGAAAAGAGAATAACAAAGCACTAAAAATTAACATACAATCACCAATTAATTAAAAAGAATCGTGTAAATCACGTCTAAAACACAAAATGATATATAAATCCTTAAAACTTATTCATTGGGGTTTATGTAAACACAAAGAAAATGGTAAAATCACGGTAAACGGCGAAACGAGCAAAACACTCCATACAACAGCTATAAAAAATTATATTAACTGACACTATGACGACTAGAGATAAGGAGGCGAATCGGCATGCTCAAAATACGCTCCCAAAAATCACACGTCAATTGAGCTTTTATAATTAACCGCATGGGCGCTGGTACGGTTTACGTAGTTCAAAATACATGGCTTCGGGAATTACACATAATTTTATCAAAATAATAAAAATAAACTTATTTATAGCTAAATAAAACACAGAATATACTGTTGTATTTATTTCTAAATAAGTCTTACATATTTTAATTGATACATTATTTACTATTTAAGTAAAATGCAAATTATTGATGATAAGTGTTGAAATTTGATGGGTAGGGCTAATTATTTTTTAATTAAAGCTAAATAGGGCTGAGGGCATACTAAGACATGGTTTAAATAAAAATATTTAGTTAGAAATTTTACAAAATTTTATGAAAATGATAAAAATCAAATTGTTTATTACTAACTAAAGCACAGAAAATACTGTTGATTTTAATTATTGTAAATAAGTCTTTGTTTTAATTGCTAACTAAAGTACAGAAGATGCTGGTATTAATTATAAATGAGTCTTTATGTTAAACATTATTTACTATTCATTATTTAATTTTATCTAAATAAAATGAAAATTAGGTATGACCAAATTTGAACAGGTTTGTTAAATGGTGAAATTTCGTAAGTACAGATTTGTGGTAATTTTGTGTTCGACAACTACAGTTTCATCCTGGTGAATAGTTTCTTTAGCAATAGATTCTAGTATTTTCTTCCTATTTTTATTCTAACAAATTCAGTTCGGTTCAATGGTGTTTTTCGTCTTTTCCTAATACTGGACAAGTATGAAGGGAGATTCGGGAATATACATAGTATTGCTTCGTTCTTTAATCTCGGCCTTTCCCTTTTTATTTTGTTAACAGTACCATTAGTTTAAATAGTCCCGTCAAATTTTAAAATATCATCTTCTAAAAAGTGTAGCTCGCAAACAGAATTATAACTAGACAGTACTTTATCAGCCCTAGGAAAAATATTTGCAATGACTAAATTGGAGTTCAATAAAGAAAAATAACAGTAGTAACTCTTCATCTAACATCTAAAAACATAAAAAAAGCAAATTTTCTTTAGTAAGTTAAATTTAATATGTGATTATTGTTGTTTGTAAGTCAGGATTTATGACTATATTATTTTTTGTCATAGAATTTTGTAATTAAATAAACAACACTCCGTAAGATACGGGTTGTGACTATTTTAAAATAAATATATATTATTTAGAAATAAATACATTATTTTACTTACACTAGGAGCTTTAAAAAGACTTGGATTTTCTTTAATTTTATGTCGGATTTATATCCCGTTTTTCAACCCGGAACGAAGCAAATCCTGCTTTGCCGTTTTTTGTTACTCATTGTTACTTGTAGTCAGGTTCTTTATTTCAGCTTATTTTTATTCTTTTCACTAAATTTTACAAAAATCACTTTAATTCCCATTGACTTGCATAGAAAATAGACGTCGTTATTTAGCCACCCGCCAACTACAGTAGTTTTTTGGAACTCCATAAAAATAGGGACGGAAATTTGAAATTTGACAGCATCAAGAAAAATTGCACCAAGATGTAGGCAACACGTAATAAGGCATCAAAATCGCGGAATTTTCTACCTCCTTTTAAAAGGCACTCAGAAAGCTGCGCAGTGCGACCATTCTTCGTATAGTAAGAGAAAATCAAAGTATGTGGGTTCTAGGCATTCAAGCGCTAGGCGACCTCGACCAAGGAGCCATCTGAAAAATGTTTACTAGATACGGTTATAATAGAATAAGATTTCAAACTTCCGCTGATGAAATGAAATTGTAATAGATTGAATTTGTCAATTTTTAATGACCAATTCTATCAAAGAAAGTGTTTAGATATAGATGGGTATTATCTGGTAGGCTAAATAAATAATGACCGAAGATGGACGTCAAAATAATAATAAAATTAAAATTAAGTCCAAAAAAAGACGTCCTCTGGGCATCGATATGCAGCTGTCAAATTAATGATAATAAACGAACGTACACTGGATGTCCGAATACAGATATGGACGTTCTGGCCCTCACAAGGATCTAAAGGGACGTCCATTCGACTATGTGTGCTGTCTGGGTACAAGATATCAGTACAGTCCAGCTTTGGAAAATTACCAGCAATTTTTAAGTAATGATGCTAACTTTGTCACACTTATAAAATCTGTTTCACTTGCGCTAAGATAAGTATAGTGAAAAATATACCGTTAAAAATACACAGCTACCCAACAAACAATAAACTGCAGGGATATTGCTGGCCTTTTGCTGTAATTGAAGGGAAAATGAATTTGACGATTAAAAGATACAAAGCCTACCTTCAGCCTTTCGATAGTGGCCCAGCATTATGTTGCTTGATGATGGCCTTATGAAGGGTAAGTAACTGTATTGGGTAAAAGTCCAAAGGCTTTTAACTGCCGCAGACCCAACTCTAAGAGTCCTGGAGGGCTCTGTCCCGCGTTGATAGATGAAGACACTAATGATCGCTTGTTACATACCTACTCAACGAATGGACATGTACTATGAGGTCCGTCTCGCATTGCTGGTATTCACTATTCAGTATTCATTGTAATTTTTTACTCTTACAGGTTAATTTAGAATACTTTATGAATCATTTTTTTGAAGAAGACTCTTTTTCTGTATTATTATATAGCTGAATTAAATAAAATGTCTACAATATTCTATATTGAAATGCCCTCTGTTTTTGTACAGAATTTATAGTTCAAACGGTACTACTGATCAAAGAGGCACTATTGAATATCCCGTCTGGTCATGTGCCTGACCCATGGCCTTTATTTAGCAGTCAGTCAGTATTAATATGGTAAACAAGCCAGCAATTTTCCGTTAACTTCCCATCAATTGCCAATATATTTATTTCTAGACATTAAAGGGAAAATGGAGGCCTATTAACTGGATTTAATGGCTAAGTGACTTCGGCCCGACTGTCGGCTGTAGTGACCTAAATATATATGCCGGCCTTTTAATTATAAAAGTTAAATGTTCATCATTACGATTGAAGGGTAACAGTCATTGGGCTTTTTATTACCCTGCACAAAATGTTTGCAGGGTACGAACGACAATATTCTATCCTTGCAACTATTCACACTCGACTTGACGCCGACGGGACAGACATTGAGAACGACTTTGACTTTCGAAACTACAAGGTCTTTGCTTTCTCCAGTCGCGAACTCGACGTGAATTTTGAGACCTGCAGTGGGGATTCTCATCTTTCGTACTCGGGATATCCCGAGAAGCTCACTATTCGCTAGAAAATAATCGAATCTTATGTTAAATGGAGATGGGTATCGATCGATCTAGACGTGAAAATAAGACTGCCTTGGCGTTTTATGTTTCTTGGTTGTTGTTATGTCATTAAATGGCGTGTTTGGTTAAAAAATGTTTCGTTTGAAATATTTTATTTAATAATATTAAGCTAATGTATAAAATTTTTGTCATCTCTATTAAATTAGACGTTTAGTAGAATACATATTAAGTTATTTTAAAATACAGTAAAATGAGTGGAAGACACTTGTGTGCCTCAATGCAATCCTCGTATAATTATTTCATGAAAAAAATGACATTCTGTTACATTTCATCGGTTTCCTAAAACCGGTAGATGTAAGGTAATTTTGTAATATAAAAGTGGAAAATCTGAACTTGTGATGCAAGAAGAGTATGCTTCAAAACTTGAAAATAGGGAAGTAAAATTTATGAAAGGAAAGTTTGTTCTCAGCATTTTAAAGATTTATAGGTACTTATAAAGGTAATACCTAGGTATATTTTTCATTTAATGTTTATTTAATTTTTTTTATGTTGCAGCTGCCACATCTCAAATAAAAAGAAACTCTCCTTTAAAACTGCCAGTTGTTAAGGAACATTCTTATGACTGTTCCATCTACTTCAAAATCTAACAAAG